TCCCATCTCTGAATCCTCATCCATAACTGTTTCTACCTCTTTTTATGGCTCCATGAAGTGCCTTTTATTATAATTATTCATGTCCATGTCCAATCTCCCCTAATTTAATTCACTTCAATTCCACAAACATTTATTCAGCACCTACTATGTGCCAGGCACTGTACTGAGTATATGAACTTAAAAAAAAATAAAATAATTGCTGATCTCAAGGAGCTTACATTCTGAGACTTCAGTAAAAATTAATGTTGACTGTTTCAGATCATCTCATTGACAAAGTCAAATATAATTTGCCCACAGATGCCTTGGATCATGTGCAAATCAACAACCAGCAACTAGAAGGATACCACATTTGTGTTAAGGCTATTACAACTTACAAAGCCTCTTAGAGGACATTAAATGACCGGTTCTGGTTGATCCATTTGGATGGTTTTAGGAATAGCCCAGGTATAGTACAGAATCTGAGCTGGAAGGGAATGAATAATCTCATCTGACAAATGAAAAAATCGAGACCCAAGGAGATTTAGGACTTGTCCTGTGATGCCAAATAGTGAAAAGTCAGCCTCCAAATCCAGAAGTCATTAATATATGTCTATTGGTGGGTCAAGGTGTCGATTCTTTACTGTTTCGGAGAGGAGACTAGTAAAGTTGATCCTATGAACTGGTGAAGGATGAAAGGGTTACAATACCAGCAGGCAAACAAAATAGCTTGATGAAAATAGTCTTTTCAAAAAAAACAAAAACAAAAACTGGTGGTTTGAAGGAAAGGAGAGGAGACAGAAGGAGCCGTGGGGTTGGGATCGGGGAAGGCTCAGGGAAAAAGTTGAGGTTGCTCGGACTCAGCCCACAATGAAAATCTTTTCTGAGCCTGAGACAAGTGGCAACCATATGTGGAAGCAAACAAAGTTTTCCTACTCCCTGCAAGAGATAATTTGAAGAGCTCTATTTTTCTTGCTAGTTGGCTTAGAAGGGAACAAGGAACAATAGATTGGAGCTGAAATAATTTGCATTTATGATGAACACAAGGAATATCTACCTTGCATTTTCCTAAAAAAGAAAAATTAAACCTCGTTTTTAATTAACTGATAAACTATTAATCAAATTTTTGCAATGTTAGGTGACACATTATTCATTTAGATAGAATGACTGTGAACTTAAACTAATCAAATCTGATTTGCCCACATACGCTTGATTGAAATACATTTTAACTAGCATATACAAAGAGAAAATCTTGGATTTCTTACCTAATCTTCAGAGTATACTGCTGAGTTAATAAGGGCAGTTTTTTTTAAATGAGACCACCATTTCTTAATCTGCATATCAAAATCAAGAGCAACTTAATTGCAAAACACATATTCCTGAAATCTAATCATTATACTGCTTTAGGGTATTTTATTGAAGCATGTTAAATTATGGACAGAATATTAATGATGAAGCTAATCAAACCCAATTAGTCACTTCTAACAATAGTCACATAAATATACAAGTCAGGTACTAAAGTACTGTAGATATGATTTTTTAAATTTTTAATAGAAAATGTATGGGATATTTGTAAAATCTATACTTAAGAGTTTAAAACCTAAAATTATGGGCTGTCACTTTAAAAAAAATGAGTTAGTTTTTTTTTAAAAAAAAGGGATCAGCTCCCCTAAAAGATTTAAACCGGATTCCCTGAATTTTCCATCTTCACATAAATTCATATACAGGAAATTAAAGCTTCTATAATCAATCATTCAGTTTATTCAAATATGATTTTCCATATTCATGATCCTGTATTTGTACTTTTGTATTTAAGTACTTTTAAAAAAAAATCTGCTTTCTGACTCTTCCTAATGCTTGTCTTTATGAAAGATTGGAGACCTTAGTCTTTGAAAATCATAGCTGAAGCTGGGACTTGCTAAATCGGCTGATGTGCTGATTCCCAACACCACCCTTCCAGTGCTTTTCCACTGAAGGGGCAAGAAAACTAAGCTTCCTTTGGTTTTTCTGCTCCTCTCCTCACCCTTCCTTAGGACACACATATTAGCTGGTTTCTCTGGCAATAGGGACCCTGTCTCAATGGGGAGACGAGAGCAGACCAGATCAGACCATAGCCTGACAATTGGTACAAGATGTTCAGCGATTACAAGGGTGTTCATTCCATGCTGCTCATGGGGACCTCACTGGAGTAATGGACCTTAGTCTTTTTCATCAGATTCAAGGGTCAGTTCATAGACTCATAGAGTTATCATTCAATCAAAACCAAAAGAAAATTTCTACTAATAAGGTGGGCATTTCCTGACTTGACTTTGCCTGATTGCTAGTCCTGCAGGCTTCATTAACAGGAACTAGGTGGGTTGCAAAGGTAGAAATATGGCTCGAGGGAACTTAATAAAACTAATATGTTAAACATGTAATCTTGTAAGGGTCAATTTTGGACCCACATGCCTGATTCTCTTATAGCCATTCTGGTAGTCCCGTGGTACTTTGTATACTATCAGAGGCAGCGCTTTCCCTAGGGCAGGGTCCCTGAACTTGTTTTTAAAATATGTTGACCATCATATTTAATCAGAGTTGGTGTTCTTTGTTATCCTATCTATTTTATTTTATTCGTTTATATTCATTTGCAAGCATTATTCTGAAAAGGGGGTCTCTAGGCTTCATCAGGCTGCCAAACGGGTTCGTGGAACACCAAAAAGTTAAGAACCACTGCTCTGAAGGAACAGTTGAAGAAGCAAGTTCTGGGGGAATGACTAGATGAGCTGATCCAAATCTGACCATGCCCTCAGGTTAGGATAAAGCAGGCACTCTCAACCCAGTTCCCCAGAATCTTGACAATGCCAATGTTATCACTACTCTCCAAAAATTCATTTCAAATCAGATACCTTCTACACCCCAACTTTCCCCACCACAAAATGCAAAATGGCAAATCTTGTGTTTTTTCTGGTCCTGAAGCTGTAGCAATATTAAAATTATGGACATTATGGAAAGTCCATAAATTTGTTTTTAGTAAGTTAGTCACCCACCCAACCCTTCTTTTTCAACACTTCTCTCCTCTAGGTCCCTATCTTATCTATCTTGTCAGGGAACAAATGAATCTGAAAAACTTATTTCATTTTAGATTAGGGACATAATCTGAAAAAGAGATAAAAGAGCGTGCTAGGACACTTTGGTTTATTGTAATGAATCAATCAGTTCAATAAGTTAGGGTTTTTGTGGAGGGGAGGGGGTACCTCTAGGTGCATCTAGCCCTGTGCTGGCCTATATTTGTGAAGACAGAAATATAATATATAGTCAATGTCCTTAAGGATCATGAATTTGGTTAGGGACAGGGCTTGTAACCTTGTAATAACAAATAGAAAACAACATACAGACAGAACATAATTAAGGGTTCTGTTCTATGACAGAGACTCTAAATGTTATGAATAGTCTACACTGAGGAATCAGTGGGAGTTGAGTGGTCAGAGAAGGCTTCATAGAGGCAGCAGGAATTCCTGGTCTTGAAGGATGAGTAACATTTATGTCCTTACTTCCATCTGTCAGCTTTTGAGTGGTTGGGGTGGGGGGTGGAGAGGGAATGGAAGAATGATAGCAGCTATTTTGAGGAGAGGCTTGAGGATGGCCTTATGTGTGTGAACAGTGGGAAGTGCGGATAGACAGGTGTCAGTGAATGACGGAGGATGGACATGTCGGGACAGGTGGGCAGGGGCACAGTGTGTCCCAGCATGTTCACAGGTGGGGCTCTAATTGAAAAAGGTTGGGAAACACCCCACTGCAGCTGCAGCCCCAAGGGAGAGTCCCTGATCATGGGGAAGGAAAGTAGTACTAGGTAATAATCTTCCCATAGTTTCAGTTGCTAAGATTTTATGAAAGATAAAGTTATCCTTCATCTCTGGTCCTCCATCATCAGGGCATAAAAGTAAGAAGGAACTTAGAACTAGGAAGCTCCCAGTTGGATCAGATGATTGGTTAGGGGTCTTTCTTCTGTTTGAAAAAGGCTTACAAACAATTGTTGTGTATACCTACATAGGTCTATACAAAGCACTTTCTCATTTATTATTTCTTTCGATCCTCCCCAAAACTGTGCAAGTCCTACGATCCCCATTTGACAGGTGAGGAAACTGAGCCTCAGAGAAATGAAGTGGCTTTGACTCTTTGAATCATGTGTCAGAGAACTGGAAGGGAACATAGAGATCATCTAGTTCAATCTCTTCATTTTACAGAATGGGAAACTGAGGGCAAATGAAGGGAAGTGATTTGTCCAAGGGATAGTGAGTTAGGGGCAAAGTAGGGAATCACTCATGTTAGTGGCAGAACTTCTAATGAACTCATATCTCCTGACTTCTGGTCCTGTGCTCCTTCCTATATTAAGGTGCTTCTCCCAGTGTATACAGCTATATACCTTTTAAGGCAACATACATCCTCTTTATTGTGTGTGGGTACTGTGTATGAGACTAATGACACAGAGTTGCTACTTCAGCACCTCTTGGGCAGATAGCCTGTGACTGCAACAGGGGCTGGTTTTTCTTCTGAAAGCAATCTCTCTAATATGCTATCCTTTAATAAACAATAAAACCTGGGTTAAACTTAAAAAAGAAAAGACTGCCCCTTTTTCCAGCCAGATAGAGGCCTCTGTCAGCAAAGGGAGGCTCATGCATTTCCCCAGCAGGCTCTGAATAGAGGAGTTGACCTCTAAGGGGCTGACTTGTTGCTGCTGTGGGGACTGGAGAACTCACCTGGGGTCCAATTTGCTGCGAGACTAGGGCTGGAAGTTCGAGGAGTTTGGAGGAGGGAGGATGCCGGAGTTTGCTCTTGGTGTTTGGCTCTGCCGGGACAGTGAGCTTGTGTGGAGCTGGGAGGCAAGCCGAGTCTCTCCTCCGTGTTTGGCAGGCTTCCATCTGCTCCGAAAACAGACCCTGGGATCTCATCTTGTTAACAATCTCTCATTGGGCATTGTGGGAGGAAAGAGGGAAGGTGAGTCAGGACCCAACATTTAAAAGGGGCTGCGCACAGAGCAGAATCGTCACTGCTGGGATCAGGAGCAACTCCTGCGTCTGCAGAGACGCTAGGATGGATGAGTTATTTCACGGGGCGAACACCAGCCCCTGACTCTTCCAAAGTCTCCTGTTTCATCTCTGCAGAGACTCTCTGGTTGCAGAGAGTGCAGGGACTCGGCTGCAGCTCACTCTACAGAAGAAGAACATCTGGACGACGGCCGAATTTCTTCTCTTCCTCAGCGAGTCTGGACTTCGTGGGACACTCCAGGAACTTCGCGAAACTGATGTGCTATGCATCGGAGACGCTGTCAACCCGTCAATAAGTACGTATGGAGCGCTTGCCACGCTAGGCGCTGTGGGGAAAACTAGAGGAAGGGAAAGAGGAGGCTAGGTCCCTGCCCTTGGGGAGTTTATAATCCCATTGTTTTAGACATGGGGGTCAGTACTGAGCTTCACAGGAGAGACATACTTATAATAGGGTCTTTTAAAATTACTTTGGTAACTAAACCCTTGGATGTGATCCAAGCTGAACCCACCAAATCCGCTGTAAAGTAAATAGTTATTTCAGTGAGTTCGGAGTGGTTAAAAAAATAAATCTCTGATAGAATTAGAAGCCAGGCCTTTTGGCTCTCATAAAGTGCAGCCTTTTAAATTTGGTTTTAAAAAAATACAGTGTGTCTTTTAGCAAGGAGTGGGTCTGAAACTTATTTTCTATGTAAAATTTGCGCCGTATAATACTGTATAGCAAGTATTCTTAACAAAGCCCGTTAATGTCATCTGTATAATAATCTTGGCAATTTCCTGGGCAACAGTGTGGTGCCACTATCTAGCATAAGTATTCCAGTCCAGATGTCCAACCTTGTTAGGAATTACAAAGAATTATGGGTGAAACTTTGCCCATACAGAACCTTGTCTCTTTTCTGTTTGGAGAAACAGAGAAGTTGCTCGCCTATTTGGTGGACAAATCATTCAATTTGGCAGCGCCCTCAGTTTTCCTCCTCTGTAAAAGGGGGATAAATCTTATTTTGAAATGCTCCTGTCTTCTGGTTTCCCCTCAGATTCTATTATTGTTATCTGGGTTCATTTGAGGGTGTGGTGTTCCACTCATCTTAGAAAAAGCATTACATAAACAGAATTGATTAGTAGAAGTGTGGGGTAATGCAAAGACTTAATTCCATAGCTGTTTTACATTATCATGATAGATTGTGTGGACTGCTACAATACCACGGATAATAAATGTACAGGGAAGGTCAGAAAGCTCCCAGAGCTTTCAGGTCAATACGATATACACTGAAAAAAAAAAAGCCTTGCACTTTGACTCTGTAGAGTAGATAACTGGAGCCATTGAATTCTGGTAAGCATGTGAATAATGTGTAACTTTTCTATCGGGGACTGACACTGAGTTAGAGAGTAAAATGCAAAGAGAAGTCCAAGTTTGAAAAAATAGGTCACCATATAGAGACCTATACTAGGTCCTGGTGGTTTTTTATTTATTTATTTATTTGTTTATTTGTTTATTTTTAATTTTTAAAATCTTTTTCTGGTGTTTTTTAAAAAGTAACATTGCTAAAATGATCGTTCTAAATATCCTGAAGCAAAGTGAGATATCTTATGAGGAGGACTGATAATACAAACTGTAGTACTTGGCGATGGTACACATTAAATAAAGAAAATATTTTCTCTAATTGTGTGTACAGATGACTTGATTGCTATTGAATCTATATGGTTTTAATGACTCACAAAGAGAGCAAGGGGCTATTATCCGGAGAATTTTAAAGGTCCTTTTTCTTCTTCCTCAGGATCTTCAGGTCTCCTGAATGGAGAAAATCATCTATTTTGACGCAGAAAATTACGTACGTTGGCAGAGTAAATCATCCACGTTGGCAGATAAAATTAGAGCGGCTGCTCTGAAAATGAGCGTTGAAACTGCTGGAAACATCTGCCCCACCTAGCTCAACAGCTCAGGTGAGCTACAACTAGCCCCCTTGGCTTTATGAGCAGAAGTCAAGAAGTCTCTGAGAAAGAGGCAGTGAATTCAGGATGTGGGATACCTGCTGTAGGCTTCCCCATTTTGTACATAGTTCTGCTAGAAAGGTTGGCAAAGTGAGGAATGGCACCGAACAAAGGGCATAATCTGACTCCCTGAGCTTCTCCCCCTCCACTCCACCCCTACCCCCGCCCAGCTCTGGCTATCTCTGAGCTGCCAAGTCTATTCTTGGGACCCAAGGGACTCAAAGGTAACAGTTCTCCCTTTGGCCTGATCTAAGAGTATAGCCATTGGCAAAGTTGCTCAGCTGTCTCTTTGGTGTCCACTTACCTTACCTATACCATGCTCATATTTTAGACCTAGCTCACCACAATCTCCCTTATTAAAATTAAACTGTCCGGTATCTCATTCCAGCAGAACAATGTCCTCAACCTGTTCTCACTTTGGAAAAGCATCTTATAGACTAATTCACTCTGAGTTGTTAATGATAAATAAGATCTGGTAAGGGCTTAACATGCATTTTAACAGGAGACAGTTTCTTCGGTCAACTGGATTTTTAATTGTGGAGTTTCAGATATCCATAACAGGATGGTGGGGTAGGTATTTTGGCCACTGGAAGGATTTCTCACTCTCTCACACCTCATCTACTGTGCTCAGGTTCCTAAGGAATACAGCTTCAGTCAGTCTGTCCCCAATTCCCTTTTCCTTTCCTATCCTAGGGGACTGGACTGGACAACCCAGAAAGAAACAAAAGGTCACTTTTAGCATGGTGTAAGAGCTCTAGATTTAGATTCTGGGAAGGATGTGGGTTTGAATCCTGGCCATAACTAGCTATGTGACCCTGGACATTTCTCTGAGTCTTTGTTTCTTCCTATGTAAAATCAGGATAATAATCCTTTACTTCTTTCAACCTAAAGGGATGATTTCCGCAAAAGTACTTTGTAAATCTTAAAGCCCTATGGAAATATGAGTCTGCCCCTCCCCTCCCCCATGCTCCTCCCCCACCAGAGCCTAGAGCCAAAAGTTAGCCCAAAGAGCCAACGTTTGACATTCAGATGGTGGACCACACCCTGGACCCTCTGGCCCCCAAGCACAAAAGGTACCTTCAATGAAAAAGGTTCCCAAGGATCTAGCTAGCCCCAAAGCCCCATGTCTACCATGTAACCCAAGGATCACCAATCACACTTCCATCTCTCCTAATTTATATAAGGGATTCCCATCTTTTTCACTTGGATATCCCCTTGGCTTTTAGCAACCCTTCCTGAACTCCCTTTTCAACATGAAAAGAAATAAATGCTAGAGTTTGTAGCTCATATGCACATAAGAAATAAATAATTAAATAAGAAATAAGGAGATTAATTAATTTCATTAAGACAATAGCTATTTCCCAAATATTCCCATAGAACAATTTTTTCATACCTTCTAAGGGTATGTGTTTTGGGAATCCTTGCCCTAACCCCCTATCATATATTCCATTATGAATCTTGCAACATCTGTACTCAAGGGAGTAGAAGCAAGGAGTGGGATATCTGTTCCACTTGTTTTCCATTTTGTTTTTGTTTTTTCTAAAGGCAGGAGTAATTTTTCTATTTCCCTTATGGCTCCTTATCCTCCTCTCCCTCCAAGTCAATTTAAATCAACAAGAATTTATTAAGCACCTGCTATGTGCCAGGCACTGTTCTAAGCACTAGGAATACAAAGACCCCCCCAAAAAACTGCCCCCAAATAATCCTTGTTCTCAAGGAGCCCACAGTTTTTCCACAGTGTCCTTCCATTCTTCCAGCAACTTCCTAGGGAGGTTGAGATGAATGATGATAGAAGTGGGAATACACAACTATACAAGAAACTGGCTACTTGCATACAAGGGTCAGTTCTGTGCATGATGCCCCAAATAGTGTAACTATTCCTTCTCCAATGTTTGCCTGGGGTAGTGAGCTAACAGGCAGAAAGGGGTAGGCTACTTTGGCCAATGTCAATCTGTAACTATTTTGTGAGTAACAAACCTAATTGAGGGGAACACCCCTTGTCCAAACAGCAGATCAAGTCCTTCCAACTCCCCCCCACCCACCTTAGTAGTTACTAGGAGGTGATGGGGGCGGGGCAAAACTACAGCAATCTGATTGGGGGAGGGGCAGGTCACTAATTTGCCATCATTTTTTGATCACAGTTTCTGGGCTAGGTGGCCAGTTGCTTTCAAAGTCAGATTTTATAAAACTAATAACATATCTTCCACTTGCACTGCTCTAGGTACTTTGTGAATTTTAAAGCACTATTTAAATGTGGGTTAGGAATATTTACACAGTACTTTGGAAACCATGATGTCATTTGCTCCTCAGACCAACCTTGTGAAGTATTGTGAAGTAGATCCAGGGCAAGTATGTTGAGAGGAAAATTCATATATTCATAGAGTCATAGAATGCTGGAGCCCCAAGAGGGCTTAGAAATGACTTAGTCCAATCTTCTCTTCTTTTACAATTTGGGGCAATTGAGGCCCAGAGAAAGGAAGAGACTCACTCATCCAAGGTCACATGGTGAATTAGCAGTAGGGTGGGGATTATAACCTAGTTCTACTGATTCTCTAGCTTTGGGCTCTTTCGGTCTCTTTAAGGGCTAATACTTCTCCCAGGGAATTTTCCTCATCAATGCAAACTAGGTTCTACAGACACTATAATAAGTTTTAAGAAATAGGGCCTTTGTCTTAGCACAACAGACTTCACAGGTTGGAGAGTCACCGTGAACAGTCACTCTATTGGCACTCCATGTCCATGGGAGCAACTTTATATCCAATCATCCCAGAACAAAATGGCTTTTCCCTTCTTTACTATAGTGGAAATTTAAAATGGACCTCCTCTTAGATTACAGGGGTGAGGAACCTTCGGTCTTGAGGCCACATGTGGTCTTCTAGGTCCTCAAGTGTGGCCTTTTGACTAACCAAACTTCACAGAACAAATCCTTAATGAAAGGATTTGTTCTGTAAAACTTGGGACTGAGTCAAATGGCTGTACTTGAGCACTTAGAGGGCCACACGAGGCCTCAAGGTCAAAGGTTCCCCACCCCTATTAGAATATTTTCATTCTTCTTTGATTGTTCCTTGATCACAGGGAGGGACCCTTAGAGATTAAGACCAACCTCCTCTTTTTCCAGATGTGGAAATTGAAGCCCAGAGAATAACTTGATTAAAGTGGGATTCTAATCTAGGTCCTTGGACTCCAACAATCAATCAATCAACAAGAATATATTAAATTTAGGCAACTCTGGACATTAGAGATTAAAAAAACAAAAATGAAGCCAAATCCAGGGCATTTTCCACTTTTGTACCATGACCTCAAAGTGAAGCCCTGAGGAACCCTGATCCTGAAAGCCTATTTATTCAGTGAAGGAAGTAAAGCTTTTCTTATCTAAGGTCATTTTCATGCCCTTTCTTGTAATCAAGGAGAACCTAAAGCAGTCTGTAGTATCTTAGCAAATAAGAACAAAACAGCATTTGAAAAGGAGAATGGATTTCAGAGACATAATTAGGATGAAGCAGCTTCAGCTTGCTCTGTAGAGGTGACCTTTAGAGGGCACCAATAGCGTTCATACTCCTTCAGCAGCATAGACAGGACTGAGTTTACCACCTAGTTAATTCTAAGCCCCCTCGCTGCCGTACCCTAGCTAAGTTCCTTTCATGTTCCACCTCCTCCTCCGAAAGATTGACTATGCCCCAGCCTTTCTGCCCTAACTGAACTCGTTGATTTGAAGGTGCACTTTCTACTACTCACTCATTTTTATGAAGCTTGCCCTTAGTGGAAACATTTTTGTTATTGCTTCGGGGGCCCTCGGAGACACACTGGCAAGGCACTGAAGATAGGGGTTATGACATGTGTGGACTTGTTCAACTTGTTTTTAGGATTTTTTGTTTGTTTGTTTTTGCTAGGCAATGGGGTTAAGTGACTTGCCCAGGGTCACACAACTAGTAAGGGTAAAGTGTCTGAGGCCAAATTTGAACTCAGGTCCTCCTGACTCCAAGGCTGGAGCTCTATCCACTGCACCACCTAACTGCCCCTTAGGATGTTTTTAAAGGTGATTTCAGATAAATAATCAACTTTCTCATGAAATTATAAGTTTCTCTAGGAATTGGGGTGGAGAAAGGGTACAAGAAAAGCAAAAGAAGACAGTTTTATGTTGGAAAAGCAAATATACAAAAGAAATCCTTTATCTAATATTTCCCTTGCCCACTTTGGAACCACGTATTTATTTTTTTTAAAAAAAGTCAAAAAGTTTAATTGGTTTCATTTCTGAAAAGAAGAAAGGGCTTAGGCTAGACTTCTGTCCCCTTGAGCTGGAAAGAGAGCTAATATGGTGCTGTGGACAGAGCATTGGACTTTAGAGGAAACACACCTGTTTGCTAATTTAGCCACTTACTGGCCTTAGGTGAATCACTTTCCCTCTCTGGACTCAGTTGCCTAAGTTGTAAAAAGAGGACATTGGATAAGCTGACCTTTCAGGTCTCCTCCAGCTCTAAAATCCTACATTCTATGTCTAGCGTTTGTATTTGCTATCAAAGGGAAAAATGACAGGAATTCCTCTTTAGAGGCCCTTCCTGCTGTCCAACTAAAAATCATGCAGCACAACTGAAAATAATATTCTGAACCCAGCCTTTTCTCACTATTAACTATATACAGACAAGCTCAGATTTTTAAGAGACACATAACTTACACACAAAAGATAGAAGCAGCTACAGAGCATATGAATAAGCCACTCAAGTGTCTTTTGACAACCATCCATTTTATAAAATGATGGTGGCAACAGAGAATAGTGGGATTGGCTCTGATAGGTCCAGGAAACCATGGTCTGGGGAGAATATGTACCCTAGTGTGGTCTTCAAGGGCAGCCCCTTCCTCTAAATTAGTGTGCCTAATGGAGAACACTTTTTGGGGGAAGGGAAGGAGGCTGTTGGGGTTAAATGACTTGCCCAAGGTCACACAGCTAATAAGTGTCCGAGGCCGAATTTGAACTCAGGTCCTCCTGATTCCAGGAACAGTGCTCTATCTACTGTGCTACCTACCTGCCCCAAGAATACTTTTAAAAATGGTTTTCCAGCTTTCTTCATCCCCAGGCCACATGGAAAATGAATCCTCAGATCTTTAGGAGTCCAATATCTGAGCAATAAACTGCCAATTTTTAGCAACATTTTGGAGAAATTTTTCCCAAATTCCCCTCCTTTGCCAAAGTCTATACTGCAGGTTCTTCTTAGATAATCAGTTCCACTCAAACATTTAAAACAGGATTCTATTTTTAAAACATTCATTTGGAAAAACCTATAGCTGCTTCCACCATTATAGATTTGATTTACTCATAACTTTCCTGGAATGTGGCAATCACATAAAATGAAGTTCATCTGTGGGGTGCCCTGCCCTCACTGGTGAGGACCGTTCAGAATCATAAGAGCAATCTCACATCTCCCTCCTATCAGGCAAAAGGGACTTTTTCCTAGAAGGGCATAAAAGGCTGCCTCCAACTTGTAACATAATCTAGGTCCACATGTTCATCCCTGAACCCTGACCTTCCTTTTTTTCTATCAAGAGTCAAAAGATCTGCCTTTGTGGGTGTAAGAAAAGGAAAGACCCAGCTCTAGCATAAACTATAATGTAGTTCCCTTTATTGAACTCAACTCAGATCTCTTTTCTTTGAAGTTCATAAATGTACCTACCTGTGTTCTTGAAAATGAATGCTAAAATCTAACAGTCCCAAGCCATTGTCTGTAAGGTTGTCATTACCATGAGGTGGAAATTTCTGTTTTTTCTTCCAGTCTGTTCTTTCCCTAATGAAGGGGGATAGCCTAAAAAATATCACTAGACAAATGATTAGCTAGTGAAAAGTAATTGCTGTGCATCTCAGGTGATACAAGAAAAGCAGAGTTAGACTTTGCTTTGATGATTTTGTTCTTTTCCTTTCAGGACCAGAAGCAAGTCAACAATGTGAGAGACAGCAGATCATCCAGATCAGGATGCGCAAGAGGAAGAGCAAAAGGAAGAGGAAGAAGAAGCGGAAGAGGAAGCGGAAAAGGAAACCCAACTGGAAGAACATTCTTCGAAGATGGTTACAAAGGTCGGTTAAATATTCTGCAGTAACAGCCCCTCGGTTGCGTTAATCAATGCCTAGTGTATAGCCTTAGTTCATCTGGGGTTTTGAGAGAAGATCAAAAGGAGGACAAGAAATATAAGGAGGATTTGGGGAAGAATACCTATAATCCTACAAAAACATAGCAGGTGATTTCTACATTGACAAGTTGAGGGATGATTTCTATAAACCCTCAGGAGAATATGGCCTAGAATAAGGTCAACAAACCTCAGAGTTAGAGAGCTGTTCTGTAGTTCTGTAGTCCAGTCCACCCCCCTCATTTAACAGATGGAGAATCCATCTCAGGAAGTACTTGCCCAAAATCACAAAAGAGGCAAAGATGGGATTTGAATTCAGTCTTCTGACTTTAAGTCCAAGGTTCTTTTGAAGGGACCTTAGAGATACTTTGGTCCTGTAAATTTGCAGCTGGTGAAACTGAGGCCTTCAGGGCAAACTGGCCCAAGCTCCTGGTCTACTACTAATTAACTATAATATAGAAGTAAGCATCCCAGCATGCTTGCAAATAATACATGTACCTGAGTCTAAAGCATTTGATTTCCTGGAATTTCTAAAAGGAAATAATAGACAGAGATAGATCATTTTGTCCAAACTGTGTAAGCAGCTTTGGTGTAACTGCTACTCTAGGCTCAGGCAGCTGCCAGGCAGTGAAAGTAATCAGAACCATGGAGCAATGTGGTCTCTCTAGGGAGCCACACCCTATTTTTTGGCCCAAGACCATTTTCCTCAATGGAGCATTGGCTCCTGGAAACCATTGTACTTAATGGAGCATTGGCTCCAAGAAACGATTGTGCTTAATGGGGCATTGGCTCCTAGAAACCATTGTGCCTAACGGAGCATTGGCTCCGAGTGGCTCCAGGTATGCTCCTGGAGGGGCTCTGGAGCCACAGACACTGTAGGCTGAACTCCCTCTTAGGATGGCTGAGTGAAGCCTGTTAAAGAGTCGGTTGCTCAGGGAGAGGGAGGGATTATGCCAGAGCTGTCATTAGACTACTGATTTCATTCATTATATCACTTCTCTGTTCAAAGACTTTCCAGTGGTTCCCTATTCCTAATAGGATCAAATCCAGATTCATTAGGCTGATGGCCACATTCCAGTCCCATACTACCTTTTCTAACCCCATCTCCCATCCTTCAAATGATTCAACACTTCAAGGACCTGTGATTTCACTGGTGTGGGAACTCCTTTCACTGATACAGGTTGTAACCCTTTCTGTGGCTTAGCTCATGTTCTTTGAGAGGTACTGTTTCCAAAAACTTTCATCACCATGAGGCCAACCTGGCCCTAAGTCTTTATGAACTTAGCTTGGCTGGTCCTCATACAGCATCCATCCTTGGAGACCTGGCAAGGGAGCTTGGTCCTCTAACCCCTGGGGCACAGACGTCAAGGATTCCCAGTCACCTTCTCCACACCGCAATGAGACCTCTGAAGAGGGTCACTTGAGCTGAGCTTCCCAGAGGAGATGAGACTTGAACCCTGTCATCTTTCGAAGGCTCAGCTCAAGCCCTACATCCTCCATGAAGCTTTCCCTGACCCCCACAGTCTCAGGGGACCTCTCCCTCTTCTGAACTCAAACAGCACTTGTCTGTACTGTATTGTTTGATTGGCACTCACACCATATATTGTCCAGTGAGTGTTCTTCTATTGTTGTCTTGTATTGTTACTCAGCTTAACCTATGTGTAAGCCTGGGCTCCCTTGCCAAATGGTGAGCTTGAGCTTGTGTTGAGGGCCGGGAATGTGCTTTATATGTCTTTGTAGCTCCCAGGGTGAACGTAGTCTAGCATTGGGCTAGGCACATAGTTCTCTTGGGTTGGTACTTATCGTTATTATTTTTTTAGGCTGGGTAATTATTTCTTTGGTTAAGGTCCTAAAAGTAAAATGCTTTCTTCTGGACCTTAAAGAAGCTCACAAACATCTCAGCCTTTAGAATTTTCAGCATTGCTGAACTGTATTCCCCTTTGGGATTGAGTCCTTCCTTGGTAGCAAGAGAAGCATATACAATTGAGGGAAAATGGCAGTGGGGAAACTGTGCCAAGGGAATATGTTCCATTGGGTGGAAGTCACAGGGAGAAAAACTGTAGCCTAGTACAAGGAACAACATTCCTAACAGTCAGAGCTGTCCTGCAATGGATCAGTAGGCCTCAGAAGGGAGTGGGACCTTCCTGACATAGGAAGTGTTCAAACAGAGGCCCAAAGATGCTCTCCCTCCACCCACTCCCCCCACAGCAATATCACAGAGTGGGAGGATGGATCACTTCAAAAATCCTTCCTATTTCAGAGTCTTTACTTAAATACTTCAGGAATATTGTGGGTATTCCCAACAAATGTTGCAACCCCTCTACAAACTTAGAAATGGGGCTTTAGAGAGTTGCTGTGGGGAAATTTGTAAGATGCTCCTCCACCAACAGACCCATGGTACTGCACAGGAGCCTGTCCTGAGAGTCTCAGATTTTGTAATAAGGGACACATTACAGAGTGTCCCGTGATATGTCACAGCATTCAGGAGTTGTGAGGGGCAGAGCTGGGCCATCATAGGAAGGAAAGTCCATGGGCCAAGGGCTTTGCTTAGATTCTAGCATAAGGGAAGGGGATCACATTATAGGGGGACAAAAAAAATCTCTCCAATAGCACCAAGTTTGCTGCTACTGTCTGAGGGCTGACAGCTGGAGATCTTCCTTTCTGCCCCTTCCCTCCTCCTCTTTGCTCACTCTTCCCTGGTTGAGCTCCTTTTTGGAAGGATTTTCCAATTTGTTCAGAGGCTGTGCTTGAAAAGGCACTGACTAGAATGTGACCCAAGGCACCTGCAATCAAGCCTCTGCAATTAGAGACTTGATTCTTGCCTCTCTTTGGGAATCTTGTGACACCGGCATGTGTGACTTTCCAGGGGGCTGCAAAGGTAGCAAGATTTCTTGGGTCAGAGGTATGAGTAGCAAAGAAGAGGGAGCAGCAAGAAACTCTCCTACTTAGAAAAGGGCCCTCCCCTGCCCTGAAAGGCCATCTGACGATGACAATAAGGACAGAACCCATCATAGAAGAGCTCATTATTTCAAAAATTACAAGTCAAACCATGCCTCCTGACACCAGCAATGGGCAAAAATCTGATAGAATCTGATTAGTACAGAACTTAAGTATTAGCTTGGTGCCTTTTCCCCTTTATACTGCTGGTTTTAGCCTATCCTTCCTTTATAACACCAGCATTATATAGGAGTTTTGTTGTATAAACCAATAGTATTGCAACTTGTATTCATAGAGTTTCTTTCATCTAGGAAATGCATCAAGTTCATACCTACCACCTTAGGGACAATCACAATACCTACTTCAAGGTAGAAGAAGCAGGAACAGTCAATCTTGTTCTGTTTCAGCATTAAATAATTCCTTGTAACGAAGAGAAACAAAAATTAGCCACTAATTTGGTGATTCAGAGAGGGAATGCAACATGCTGTACCCATAGTTGCCCAACTCTCAAACAAGAGAGGAAGGCATATTTCAATACCTGGTCTTTGGAACCAAGAGGAGTCATTATAACTATGCAGAGTTTGGGTTCCTTTTTTCATTCTTTTCATTTATTGTATATACATATATATGCATATATATTCTTCTCTTAAATATGCTTACTTGATTGCATCAGTTTATATAGGTTTTCCCATATTTCTCTGAATTCCTCACATTTGTCCTTTCATATGACACAGTTTAATACTACATTACATGGGTACTGGAAAACAGTTTATTCAGTCATTCTCCAAATGAAGGGCACCTAGTTTATTTTCTATTCTTTGCCAAACACACACACACACACACACATATATACAAAGAGAGAGAGAGAGAGAGAGAGAGAGAGAGAGAGAGAGAGAGAGAGAGAGAGAGCGAGAGAGAGCACCTATATCAAGTTTAGGTGAAACAGATATGATCAGAACCATTGCAGTTCCACACTAAATCTGCCTTGTAGTGGGGGAAAACACTCAGGCATTAGCAACTCCAAGGTCACCCTGGCTGACAGTGTAGCCAACAGTGTGTAGCCATAGACCCAAACCTCTCATCCCAAGGAGGGGAAGTATAATGCATTAAATGCTTTCTACAATCAAGACAGGTCATTACAATTAGCCAGAGGTTAGCTTCTTTTTAGTGTTTGTTTGTTTAGTTTTCCATTTAGATTATTGTAGTCATTGTACATATTCTGCTCCTGATTGAGCTTACTTCACTCATAAGATCAAAGAAGTTTTTAAATGTTTCTTGATTTCCTAATATTACTCCTTTATTCCTGTACAATAACATGTTACGTTCGTACGTGAGGACATGATTTACTCACCCATTCCTCTAGGGGAAGGCACCCGGGTTGTTTCCAATTCTTTACTACAAAGTATATTGACAGCACCTATAAAAAGGTAGAAAGAGCAGGTATGGTCGTCCCCACTGGAAATCCACCTTGAACATGCCTTGTAGCAAAGAAAAACTGAAGCAACAACAACCCAAAGGGTGACCCTGTCAGGCAACGAATGTAAAAAGAGTGAAATTGTAGAGCCCAAACTCTAAGACCAAAAGAGAAAGGCATGGTTCAGTATCTACTGTTGGGAAAAAAAAATGGTCTTGAAAATTATTCAGAGTTTAGTTTCTTTTTACTTATATGTTACTGTAAATGGTGAATATATTTTTAATTTAGACAGATTTTCTTTACATAAATTTATTAAAAATCTTCCAGGATTCTCAAAATTCCTGACCTTTCCATATTCTTCTTACAAAATAGTATTGAGTTATAGTCATAAAAAAGGACATCTTCAAAAAAGGCTTCCTCTTCCTTTACGTACTTACTGTATTCACTGAACTGATAATAGTTTTAGAAAACAAAGTGAACAAAAGTCCATCTAAGTCTCAACACATAGGGAGGAAGGTGTCATGTTTTCTCACTTGCTCTTTGGAATCTAGATTGTTCTTTGTAAATACACAGACAAGGAATTCTTTTTCATTCTCTTTTCCTTTTCAAGATTGTAGTCAGTATATGATCAGAAATCTGTCAATCACGTCTCATCTGAAAAGGCTTACTGGTTTGTTTCCACTTCTGTGATTAAGCATACATTAACAAAACCTTGATTCAGGCAGGAGGAGCATAGTTAACCACTCTCATGTAAGTACCACCATAAACCTGCCCTTTAGTAAAAAAAAAAAAAAAGATGTGAGAAAAGATCACAGCTAAATATATAAGCGAAAGGTGCCATATAAGTGAAAAGGTGCCAAAATTTAAAATGACAGAACTCCAGTTGTCATTCTAGAGGAGGGATCCTTGTTGCCTTTTACCTATTCTATCACATATGATCTGGTCACTATATTGGTAACTAGAGGTCATTATAATTACTCGGATAGCAGTTTGGTTTTTCCTCTCTTTATCCACTGGCAAAAGCAACTACTGTAGAGACAATAAAAATTAGCTGTCTAGAATTGTTGAGTTGTAGGGCCTTTAGCTCCTTTAGCTAGATATTATATCAATTCTGACATAAAGAAGTAAAATAAGCATGGTGGTTTACACTTATGTAAGTGGCACCCTGAACATGAATAGAAGAGGAACAAAAATAATAGCTCAGCAAAAAGTGACCATGTGAGAAAGAGAAGGCATTATTTGGATTTGTATTGCCTTAGCTCTGTGGACATAGAAGGAAAAATTATTCCTAATTTGCTCACATGAAACCATATTGGTAGCTATAAACAATGAAACCCAGCAACTATCTGATCTTATTCATCAAACAAAAATAAAATACAGAAAGTCTCTATATAGAAGTTGTCTCCTCAATACTGAGGGCATTCTATTACATCTAGCTCAAGGAAAAAGGAAAAGAGAGGTCTGAACTCTCACATAGCATTCCTTGAATTAGTTCTTTAGCAAAGAAAATTCATTTCAAAAATAACAAGGAAAAAAGTAACCCTGTCTTACAGGGTGAACACTATTGAACCTAAGTTCCTCACAAATCAAACAAGAACCAGGCAGCAAGATTCTAAACACTTTCCTCACTGCCACGTTGCTAACTCTAATAAATCATTTAAAGGCTTTTCTTAAAACTCTCCTACCTCTATCACACGGTTGTCAGTGTAGAGAGAAAGGTTCCTCAGTCATTCTACCTCAAAACATTCAACAATTTGTTTCCATTTCTTCATGAAAAGTGCTTCTATTCCATAGGAATAAAAGGGAAAACACAAGGGGGAGGTGCCACATTGCCCCTGGGGTCCCCTCACCTCTTGCCAAGCAGGGGCAGCAGGTATCCTAACCAGCTGCCTCTCTGCCCTATTGCTTACTCCAAAGACTTGCTCTTTTGCTACCATCACATAATTCTCAGAGTAGAGACAAAGGTTTCTCAGCCATTCTTCACCTGTAGGGCCCTTGGTTTAGATCCGCGTCTTTGTTACGCTGGCCTTCCAATACACCCAGATTGAGGAGTACACACAGCCATCTGCCACCATGTGTGATCCACCTTTAGCCAGCGCTGTAGCAAAGAAAATTCAATCACCCAACAGCCAGCCAAAAGGAAACCCTGTCCGAAAGGGTAAACACCATCATGCACCTGTAGTCCCTCACCTGTCAGCCCAGGGATGGGCTCATGCTTTCTCATCACCTTTCTCATATCCTTACAAGTCCTTCCAGGGATTCATGCAGAGGCTTTCTTTCTCTCCTTTGGCCTCCAACACAAAATCCTCAGCATCCTTACAAAAGTTTCTCACCCCTTCTCCATCTGTAGGGCCCCTGGTTTCTTTCCACTTCTTTGTTACAAAGGGCTTCTGTTCTACCTGGATAGAGGGTAAATCTACATGGGTATCTGCCCTCATGTATGGTGCTCCTTGATCCAGCCCTGTACCAAAGAAAACTCACTTTCCCAAGAGCTAGACAGAAGAAAACCCTCTCTGTTAAGATAGGTACCACATTGTACATGCATTCCTCAACTCACAGCCTACAGGTGGTGGTATGTTTTCCTCTCACTATTCTCTTATCCTTAGTGCTCACTCAATCTCAGGCCAAAAACATCAATTTTATCATTCTGATTTTTTGCCTTTATACTAAATACACACACACACACACACACACACACACACACACACATACACACAGAGGAAATGAAAGCTACACAGTGACACAGAAACAAAGTTCACTGGACAGACCCTGTATTTTTAGATATTCTAGTCCCAGAAAAGGTGCTGTTTTCTTTTACCAATTCTTTGCCAAGGAGGGCTTCCATTCTACTGGTAGTAGGTAGAATGGGCATGGGATATCACCCCTACATATTGTGCTCCTTGCCTGGGATTTCTAGCACAGAAAACCTACTTAATCCAGAGCTGTCTCAAAGATGAGCCTGTCTGTCTGGGGAGGCACCCCATTTCATTAATAGCTGTCTGACCTGAAGCACAGAGGTCTGGAAACCAACTTGTTAAACCTACTCTCTAGAGACCAAGCAGGGTCGTGATATCCAGTCAGAGGGCAGGGCTTCTCATCACATTTCTTACTCGCAAGCTTTCCATCAGTGTACTGTCAAGAGTTTGTCATTCTCCAAAAAAGAGATGCCCCTGTTTGTTTCCCAGCCTTTGCTAGTGAGGGTGGGCCCTACATTGGGATCAAGGTAGAATGAGCATGGGGTTCTACTTCCATGTAAATTCCTCTTTGCATTGGCCATACTACAAAGACCAGACGTAGATCACTGGTGAGTCCCATGCTGACCTTGTCTGCTAGGGGGGCACTACATTTCACACAAAAGTGTCCCAGTTCGGAGCACAGAGATAGGGCCCAACATGATAACCAGCTCTCTGAGGCCAAGCAGGGTTGTGATATCCAGTCAGAGGGCAAGGCTTCTCTCTCCATTGGTCAGCGGCCAGGATATTAGCAGGGTATGGTTCTAGGTTGTTCAGGCATTTACCAGCAGCAGTCCCCTTGGTTGCTTTCCAATACTTGGCTAGTCAGGGCTTCCATTCCGCCCAGGTAAAAGGCTAAGGAGCATTGGTTTGCAGCCCAATGAACATTGGTTCTTTCCAGGATTCTGTAGCCAAAAAAAAAAAAAACGCACTGCAACCACAAGCTACCTAAAATTCCACCACAACCGAGGAGGAGTCCACATGGCTGGCTGCCTCATGTGGGATCTTTCTTAAGCCAGACCTGTAGCAAAGACAATTAAATCCCCAACAGTTAAACAAAAGGGTACCCTCTATGACAGGGTAAACACCACCAGGCACCTGTATTCCCCACCTCCCAGCCCAGGGGTGAGGCATGTGTTCTAACTATCCTTTTGTCATCTTTACTAGCTCCTCTACGGACAGGCTTACTTTTTCTCCTTCGGCCAACAACGTAAAACCCTAAGGACACTTTAAAAGTTTTTGAGCAATTTTCCAACCATAAGGCTCCCCAGTTGAACCCACTTGTTTGTTACACTGGCCTTCATTTCCACCAAGATTGAGGAGGGGTCCACATGGATGTCTTCTGGTCTGCCCCATGAGGGTTCTTTTTTAAGCCAGTCCTGTAGCAAAGACACTTCAATCCCTCAACAGTTAACAAAGAGGGCACCCTCTTTGACAGAGTAAACACCATCACCCACCTGTAGTCCCCCACCTCGCAGCCCAGGGATTGGGGCATGTTTTCACATTGCTTTTCTTCTATCTTCACTACTCCTTCAACTGACTCATGCAAAGGCTTATTTTCTCTCTTCTTTAGCCTAAAACCCATAATCCTCAGGATCCTTATAAATGTTTCTCACCCATTCTCCACCTGTAGGGCCCCTGGTTTGTACCCATTTCTTTGTTACACTGGCCTTCCATTCCACTGAGATAGAGGAGGAGT